CGTTCATCCTTGCCCCAGTATTCACCGATATATTCAACTGGTCATTAAGAGTATGCAGAGTCCCAGTATGTTTTAAAGCAGCTGTTATAATTCCAGTGCCAAAACAGTCGAAAATTAGTTGCTTAGATGATTACAGACCAGTGGCCCTAACTTCAGTTGCTATGAAAATCTTTGAGCGATTGGTGCTTAGGTATCTAATTTCTAAAATCTGTCTGGATTCTCACCAATTCGCCTATAAGACTAATAGGTTGGTTGATGATGCTGTGGCTCTGTGTATCCATTCAATTTTGCAACACCTTGAAGCCCCTAATACTTATGTCAGAGTCCTTTTTGTGGACTATAAATCGGCATTTAATACAATTATTCCAGTTAAACTTTTTGATAAGTTAATGCAATTGGGGATTCAACACTCCCTTGCTTTTTGGATTATGTTTTTTTTGCAGAACAGAGCACAAGTAGTTAAAATTAATAATATACTTTCAAGTCTTAAAACAATTAGTGTGGGGGCCCCACAAGGATGTGTGCTGTCACCATTATTGTACTCTGTATACACTAATGACGTTTCTCGGGACTACTATCTCTGCAATGTTAAAGTGGGACGACAACCTAAGATGCATTATTAAAAAATCTCATCAAAGGCTTTTTTTCTTAAGACAGCTTAAAAAGTTTGGCGTATCTAAAGTTGGTATGTTAAATTTTTATAGAGCTGTCATTGAAAGCGTGCTGACTTTCTCACTTATAGTGTGGTTTGGCTCCACAGTTCAGCAGAGAAGTCAGATTAGTAACATAACTCGGGTTGCTTAGAAAATTATTGGTTGTGATCTTCCCACTATTGATGAGATCTATGTTTCACTTTTGCAGAAAAAAGGTTTAACAATCCTGAAAGATCCCTTACATCCAGCCAGACACCTCTTTACGCCTCTTTCCTTCAGGCAGACGCCTTAGAGCAATTAAAACTAAGTCTACACGTTTTTTGAACAGCAGTTATTGTAGGATTGTTCATGCTCTTAATTCCTCTGGTGTCTATGCATCTGTATTTCACTCCTTATAATTGATAGGACATAGATAGTTGTGTATGTGTATGTATTTATATACTGTATGTATTTTAATGTTTGTTATTATTGTTGATGAGCTCACCAAGAAAAATTCCAAACAACTAGGGTGTTTGGCAATAAATAAATAAATAAATCTTTAACTGCAGGATGGGAAGAGGTGGATATTATAGTGTAATACTGTTGCTGTTTCTTGATTCACTTTTAATACACTGATTTTGTTGTTGTTGTTTTCAGTGGAGAATGGGGAGCACTGTGACTTCACAATCCTTCGAAACATGCTCATCAGGTACATAACTGTGCTTCTACACCAGCACTTATACCTGATGATGGAGCTCAAATTCTCATAATTCCTCCAAGATCACCTTTCAGAAACATCCGTATTAGAGCCATGCATCTGTGGCCTACTCTAATAAACTATTCTTTGAAAGTTTGGGGTCTGTATGTTTGAAAGAATCTCTTATGCTCACCAAGGCAGCATTTGTTTGATCAGAAATACATTAGTATTGTGAAATATTGTTACAATTTAAAGTAACTGTTTTCTATGTGAATGCATTTTAAAATGTAATTTATTCCTGTGATGCAAATCTGAATTTTCAGCATCATTATTGCAGTCTTCAGTGTCACACGATCCTTCAGAAATCATTCTAATATGCTGATTTGCTGCTCAAGAACATTTATGACTATTAATGCTGAAAACAGTTGTGCTGCTTCATATTTATGTGGAAGCCATGATTAATAGAAAGAACAGCATTTATGTGAAATAGCATTTTAAATGGCTGAGATGGACATGCTGTGATATAAACCTGTCATTTATTTGTTCTCCTCAATCACAGAACTCACATGCAGGACCTGAAGGACGTGACCAACAACGTCCATTACGAGAACTATCGCAGCAGGAAACTGGCCGCTGTCACTTACAACGGTGTCGACAACAACAAAAACAAAGGCCAACTCACAAAGTGAGTGCTTTTCACCAATACAAGCTCCAGAGCCTATTTTAAGCCTTAATTCAAGTGTACACAAACATGACCGATACGGTTTACTGATGTCAGTTTACTGTACATGAAGCAGGTGTCTGTGGTTATATTATGCCCATAAAGGATCATTGTGTAAAGACGCCTAAATGGATAGTTCCATCTATACCGCATGTCAAAGTTTAGAATAAATGTGTATATAATCATTTTTAATTGTGAAATTGTTTAATTGTTAAAAATGTATTACAGTTTAAAATATATATTTTCTGATTTATTTATTTTAAAATGTGATTTATGTCTGTGATCAAAGCTGAATTTTCAGCATCGTTACTCCAATCTTCAGTGTCACACGATCTTTCAGAAATCATCCTAATATTCTGATTTGCTGCTTAATTATTATTGGTGCCCAGTTATTAATAATTATTATTATTTTCAGTGTTTTTGGCTGCTTAATACTTGTTCAGGATTCTTTGAATAGAACGTTTATAACAGCGACATTTATCTGAAATCTTTTGTAACATTATAAATGTCTTTACTGTCACTTTCGGTCAGTTTAATGTGTCTGCTGAATGAAAGTATTATTGTTATTATATTGAGAAGTAGCGTTTGACAGTTTCCACAAAAATATTAAACAGATAAAGAATTATAGATAATAAATAACTAAATAAAATACACATTTGATTTTTTTTAAAGAAATTTTAATTCCACAAAAATATAAAGCAGCACAACTGTTTTCAACATTGATAATAATCAGAAATGTTTCTTGAGCATCATATCAGAATGATATCTGAAGGATCGTGTGACACTGAAGACTGGAGTAATGATGCTGAAAATTCAGCTTTGATTACAGCAATAAATTCTATTTCAACGTGTATTCAAATAGAAAACATTTATTTTAAATTGTACTATTTCATAATATTAAAAAACACTAAAATAAGGCGCTTTAAAAAAAAAAAAGGCATTTTATTTCAAACGTTTGACCAGTAGTGTAATTTAAAAGATTGTATAATCATTTACAATCATATTTGGTTAAGTTATAAATTGTGCATGTCAATGTTTATTTCCTCTAATTTCCATTTTTCTTATTTTCAATCCTAAAGGTAATCAGAAATGTTTCTTGAGCATCATATCAGAATGATATCTGAAGGATCGTGTGACACTGAAGACTGGAGTAATGATGCTGAAAATTCAGCTTTGATTACAGCAATAAATTCTATTTCAACGTGTATTCAAATAGAAAACATTTATTTTAAATTGTACTATTTCATAATATTAAAAAACACTATAATAAGGCGCTTTAAAAAAAAAAAAGGCATTTTATTTCAAACGTTTGACCAGTAGTGTAATTTAAAAGATTGTATAATCATTTACAATCATATTTGGTTAAGTTATAAATTGTGCATGTCAATGTTTATTTCCTCTAATTTCCATTTTTCTTATTTTCAATCCTAAAGGACCTTGGAAAAGAACAAAAAGAAGAAGATCTTTTAAACCACTTGGACCATCACCACATCCTAGTTGCCAATGAAACCAGCCGGGACCCTCAGTCAGTCTGTCGACCAAAACCATACGTTTATATAAAGCCCTACGGTTTTGTTTTATTTCATTCGTTTTTTTTGTGGGGACGCTGTGTCTCTGTGTGCCCCACTGACCTGGAAACACTTATCTCTGTCCACCCATTAGGCTCTTTATCCACATCTAATGCATCGGTTCATTCACCAGACCTCACAGAAACTCAGAGCGTAAATCAAATAAAACATACAAACTTCTCAGAGATATGCAATATTGTTAGGATTTTGAATTTGTAAAGCGTCAAATTCCCCTCCTGCACCGTGTGTCTGTTTAGTGATTTTAGATCCGAGGTCACTTCCTCCTCCTCTCAATAAAGGCTGACTCTTACCTCAGGCATTTCTGGCCTTTAAACAACGACCTTTTTGTGACTTCTTCTTTTCCCCTTCCCGAAATGTTAAGCTCTTCCAATATTTGTGTAATTTAAATTATTTAGCCACGGACCTTAGCCATTCATGAAATGTGTTTTTCAATTACTATTATTTTGTCGGTTTGTTTCTCATATAAAGTTCCAGTTCACTGTTTTAAATGCTTGTGCATCTACACATCCTTTATGAATGTCTCATGATTTGTCCATGGATCGACATTATGCAGTAGAGGATTCATGACACGTGAGAGATTTGTTGATGCGATGTTTCCTGCTCTTCTTCATGTAAACCGATTCAGGAACAGTGAGCTGGCGTTCTTGGCCAGTTGATGTGTGTTTTTCTATCTATAGGCACGAGTTCCCATCAGAGCTGGCCTCCCTGATACCATGCTTAGCTCTTGGTGATGTACTTCTGCAATTTTTTTATCATTTTGTTTTTTTTTTGTTTTGCTTTTTCATTTTTATTGTACAAAGTCACAAAATAAAGTTGTGATGATGCCATTTGAATAGTATGAGGTGTTTTGTTTGCTGCTTGTCATTAATGGAAAAAGTCAATCAAGACAGAAGATGTGTTGACTGCTGTATGTAGTTGTAACTGACGCTTACGGGGGGAGGGGGAATACAATGCCGGGCTATTGATGTTTATTGGATGTGCAATACATTTCATACGGAGGAGTCAGAGGTATTGTGGTAATTGACAAGATGCCACAGATGCTGTGCACTGAGCTCAGTGAATGTAGCTTTATAAAGGCCAGGACATGTGTCTTGTTCAAGAACAGGTTTGGCAGGAAGGGGGCAGCAAATACTGTGTGAAATAGGTGAGCTGCCTCTTCAACTTTACATTCATTATGATCACATCTTTGAAAGTTGAATATTAGACTTTTGGAGAAATGTCCTAAACCAACTCTCAATTTAGAATGTTTGTATATACAAACTACTTTTTTTAAAAAAGTTTGTTAGGTTTTGTTTTAATTTTCAGCAACCACTATTCTAAAAATATTTTTTATACAAGTTCTCCTATGAAGTGTTTTTGTTTTCAGTAACCACAAATCTATAACTTATTTTTATACAAACATATTTAAAAAATAAAAATAGTATACAAATCTAAACATGTTTTTATAAAAATTCTCCTGAAGAGTTTTTGTTTTGTATTCTTGTTGGTGATTGCTGAAACACAAACACATGCACGCACCCCAAAAAAAAAAACTTCAAAAGGAGAATGCTGAAAACAAAACAATCTAAAAAAGAGAGAAAGAAAATAAAATGTTTGTTGTTTTCAACAACCACAGTCTATTTTTTTTTTTTTTTTTTTTTACAAATTCTCCAATTAAGTGTTTTTCTTGTTTTTACCATCTAAAAATTTTATACAAATATATTTAAACAAAACGATTTCAATATTTTTTGTTCATTTTATTTTCAGAAACCAACAATCTAAAAATATATATTTTTATACAAATTTGATACCGATACTTCACTCATACTGCGTCTGCTAAGGTGATGGGGAAAACTCCTTTTTCTCCGAATAGTTCAAGTTCAAGTCAATTTATTGTCAATTCTTCCACATGTACAGCACATACATACAGAGAATTGAAATTGCGTTACTCTCAGACCCTTGGTGCATACAGATAACACTAACAGTAGAACATAAAATACAGATAGATACAGATTAAATATAAATACAACTATACAAATAAACAACTACGGTCATGTAAAAAAAATAAAAATAAAGCAGCACAGGGCACATGGCAGATAGAGTGCAAACCAGTGAAGTAAACAAACAGTGCAGATATAATGATTGTAGTGCAAAAGAGCTTATTTTGATTAAAGTGACAAAAAGCTCAGAGAGCAGTTCTTTATTTAAACTGTCAGAAGAGTTAGTTGAATGAGGTCAGTTCAATGCTGAATGAAGTAGTGAGCAGACCAATGCTGCACAAAGTGACTGGTGCAGGTCCCAGTGTGTTAGTGGGAGGTGGGAGGGGGGAGCTGGGGGGGTTCAGAGTTCAGTGGTGCATGGGGCAAACGAGGAGAGGGGAGGCAAGGTCAGGAGGGAGTTCAGCTTCCTGACAGCCTGATGAATGAAGCTGTCCTTCAGTCTGCTTGTCCTGGCCTGGAGACTCCGCAGTCTCCTCCCTGATGGCAGCAGACTAAAGAAGCTGTGTGTC